AATCTTCCCAAGGCCGCCAGACAGCCTGTTAACTTCTGAACCTCTCGGATGGTACGAGGCGACTGCATGTCAATGACCGCCTGCACCTTCTCAGGGTTCGCCTCTATTCCTCTCTGATTGATAAGGAATCCGAGAAATTTCCCAGACTCAACTCCAAAGACACATTTCTTGGGATTGAGCATGACATGGTGCCGCCCGAGTGTGGCGAAAGTTTCTCGGAGGTCCGACAGATGATCTTTCTGAAGTTTAGTCTTGACAATCATATCATCAATGTATGCCTCGACGTTTCTCCCAATCTGATCAAAGAACACAGTGTTTATCATTCGCTAGAAGGTAGCCGGGGCATTCTTAAGACCAAACGGCATGACCGTGTAACAGTATAACCCCTGATCAGTGACGAAGGCCGTCTTCTCCTGATCTTTCTTCCACAAAGGAATTTGATGGAAACCAGAGTAGGCGTCCATAAAGCTCATCAAAGCATGGCCGGCTGTTGAGTCGACCAGATTATCAATTTTAGGCAGAGGATAACTGTCATTGGGGCACGCCTTGTTTAAGTCTGTGTAGTCCACACACATTCGCCAGGTGCCATTCGGCTTTTTAACAAGCACCACATTTGCAACTCAGTCTGGGAAGTAACATTGCCGAATGAACCCTGCATCAAATAATTTTTTAACTTCGGCGGCTGCCGCCTGACTTCTTTCTTCGCCATGGTTCCGCTTCTTCTGCCGTACCGGCTACTTTTTCGGATCCACGGCCAGTTTATGTACCGCCGGATCAGGACTAATGCCTGGCATTTCATGGACTTCGAATGCAAAGATGTCCTTGTATTCTTTCAATAGTCTGTGAAAGTCGTCACCAAGGTCTCTCAGAGCAGTCGTCCCAACTTTGACTGTTCGCTCAGGACGTGAGTCGTCTAAGATCAAGTCCGTATGCTCACCAGCCGGCTGAGGGCGGAATTCATCTGACCGCTCCTCTGCCAATGATTGTTATTTTCTTTCTTTTCTTGCGGTCCCTGTCTGGGATGCCTTTCTCTTCTTGCCGCCTACTTCTTGAATAGGCGCACTCTCCTTGACTTTGTCAAGGTCTATTTTCCCACCAGTCGACCCAGTGGCCATAACAGTGGGCTTGACATCCGAGAGATAGCACTCTCGGGCCATCCTCTGATCTCCCCTTAGGGAGCCGACTGTTCCGTTATCCCTCTCAAACTTGAGCAACATAAGAGATGGGATTATAACAGCCTTGGAATTATTCAGGGTTGGTCGACCCAGAATCATGTTGTAGGCCGAGAGTTCTTCTACTACCAGGAACCGGACTACCATGTGTCGTCCTTCCCCTTTGTCGCCCAGGCGAATGGGTAAATCCACTCGTCCCAGTGGATGGACGACTCCTCCTCCAAACCCTACTAAAGGGTGGGAGGCCGGATGTATGCAATCAGTCTGATATTTTAGTTTTGACAGACATTTGCTACTGATGAGATCTGAGGAGCTTCCAGTATCTGTGAGGATTCGGCCAACTCTCTGGTTGGCCACTTTACATTCAATAACGATAGGGTCGTCATGCGGCCCTCTTACCCCTCCTAGATCTTCTTCAGTGATGACAATCTCAGGAAATGAATATTTGGACGGCCGTTCTTGGTGAACGGAATTTACATCTAACCGCCTGATATTGTCTTTGTTGCCCCTAATAGTGGGGCCGCCTCCTGAGAAGCCGCCTGCAATGGTGTAGACGACTGCATCATCTGTATCGGAGCTGTCGGCCTGTTGATTCTTTTTGGCCGACTGCTTTTTTGAGGAAGTGTTCCCCGTAGATTTCTTGACATAAGTGTCAAGATCACCTTGCTCAGCCAGGCGGTCCAGATACCGCATGAGACTGATGCAGTCATTGGTGTGATGACCAACATCATCATGATAAGCACAGAATTTATCTTGGTTCCGGTTGTTTGCAGAACCCTTCATGGGGACCGGCTTCTTAATTGAGATCCGTCCCTTGATTTCTTTTAGGATAAACTGGTTATCCTTGTTAAACGCATACTTTGGGGAGTATGGTTTGAATTCTTTTTTCTTTTTCTGGGCCGGCTTTTTAGAGGAATCAGCCGCCCAGACCTCTTTTCTCTTCTCATCTTTGTTTGACGACTGTTTCTGTCGTCCTTCTCTTTTGTCGAACCTTTTCCCGTCCGACTGTTTTACCGTACAAAGATCAGTCGCCTGTATATAGGCTTCCGCTTCAATCAAGGCCTCTTGAAGAGTCGCCACCCTCTTTCGGACCAAGTCAAATTTGAAGGTCGACCCGTCCTTGAGACCTCTGAAAAAGTCAGTATAGGCTACCTCATCCGGTAACCCTTGAATCTGTATTCTCATCAGGTTAAAACGCCTGATGTAAGAACGAAGACCCTCCTTCTCGCCCTGCTGAATTGTTCCTAAATCAAGGGTCGTCTTCTTTGCAGGGATGTTCATGGCGAAGTTGGAGGTGAATAAGTAAGCAAGCGTCCTGAAGCTATTTACACAACCGGTCGGCAGGTTGCCGAACCATTGTTGTGCGATTCCTTTGAGAGTCGCTGGGAAACACTTGCACCAGGTGGGATCATCCAACCCTTGAAGGTACATCAGGTTGGTGAAGGCCATAAGATGGTCTTCTGGGTTAGTAGTGCCGTCATAGGCGCCTACTAATACATTTTTCACTTTGGCCGGCTGAGCGGCTTCAGTAATTTCCTTGGAGAAAGTCGATGGCTGTTCACCAAGTCTAAGCAACCGTAGCTGCCAGTCCATAGGTTGGACATTTTTTGCTGCATGTCCACCAAACGGAGGTGGCTGCAAAAAATACTGTTGTTGCGGCACAAACGGTAAGTTTGGTACCGCCTGGTCGCTATGAAAGTCGGACTGACGGGAGGTGCCGCCTGACTGACTCTCATGATACAACTGCGTATGCCTCATCGAGGTATTTCGCAGACTGTCTTGGAAGTTTGAAGTAGAGGCCGACTCTGACAATCGGTCACTCTTCTTCTGCTCTAGCAGTAGCCTAGCGTCTGTGAATGTTTGCTTCGACCCGTCCACCTGAATATGACGAACAAGTTTCCTATTTCCTGTAGGAAAACGGAATTTTGTGAAATCAAGGGCAGGTGGCTCCCGCTTCCTAGATTTAGGATGAGGAGTCGCCTCTCGCCCTTGAACTGGCTTCCTCTTCAGTGAAGTGGAGGGTTTCTTAGCCGACTGCTCCTTGAGTGGAGCAGGCGGCTTCTTGTTGATCAACTCTTGAATCTCTCCCTTGAAGTCCCTCATGAAGGTCATGAGTTCGTTCCTTGTGATGGGAGCAGACCCATCAGTCGGTTGTTGCCGAACAGGCGGTGCGCCTGCTGGCTCACTTCCAGTTTGAAGATGTTCCCGTTCCCTCCTTTCGGTATGACGGGTACGTCGGGCCCTTAGGGTCCCGTCTGAAGCTGTGTGAGCTTCAACTTAAAATTCATCCTCAGTATCGTGGTCCGACTAAACTTGAGGGTCGTCTAGGGGACGCCTCTCTTCAGGAGTCGGTACAGACTTGGATGCCATCTCAGAAGTACTCTCCCCACAGACGGCGCCAAATGTTTCGGGGTTTTCTGATGTCCTGCGGGAGAGTTACAATTCCGAGACTGGAACCGGACGCCTGTACCTGCAAAACAACAGAGACTCCTGGTGGTGGGAGCTCCGCCTCCAACGGTCAAGTTAGTACTTGATTAAGGAGTAATTAATGCGGAAATTAAAGTGATTGGGTCTCTCTAGGTGAGAGTGTTTAATGTGAGTTTTTAGCGTAATCAGCATGTAACTCTGTGTGTAATCAATGTGTTTTTTCTGTAATCCCCCCTTAATGAGGATTAAGGGAGGTATTTATAACCTTGGGAAACGTGCCAATCCTAGGTTTAGGTTAACCTAGGGCTGATTGGGCTTCCCTCGGAAGTTGGGCCTGGGTGGCCGGTTTCTCCATTAGGCATGGAGTATGCCACGTGTCATGACATAACAGGTCCAAGGTGGACGAATAAGCGTGTGCCACGTGGCATGCCCTGACAGTTCCATCTGGGGGACACTTGGCAGGACCTGATTGGCCCACGTGGCGCATTCCAATTGGTGGGAGCAAAATCCCCTAATCAACTCGACTCAAAATGACCCGTGACCCGACCCAATTGACGGGTCTACATACAATAATAGAATCATATTAGATTGTGAAGTATTTTATTTCAATCGATTAGAATATATTATAAATGATTGTTGTACGTTTTAAACCATTTACTTCGCTTCAAAAAAATTATGATATAAAAAATAAATTTATATCATAACTAAAGAGAGTTATAAATCTTATAGCCTAATATTTTTGTTTGAATAAAATTATAATTTAAATATTGGTATTTTATTGAAATAAAACTCTAAACTAACCATTTTATCCTAAAAATCTATCCAAATTAACTTTTTTATCCTACAAAGTCCATCTAAATCTATCCAACTTTTTTTATTCAAAAATATATTCAAATATCCTACGTGTCAAAAGAATGTTATTTGTCGCCAACGTGGCGCGACACTTGGCAAAAAGTTGAAACGTTGGCGAAAAGTTAGAACGCCAAGTGTCGTCTTGTGGCCTGGCTAAAAGTTTAGCATTATATATCAATTATATGATTAGATTTGACATTTAAGTTAAATTATAAATAAAAAGATCACTATTTAATTGATAGTTATATAGTCTTTAGAATTTTGTAGATCTTAAGACTGCAACAATAACAACTTTTAAGAACAATGGTGATAATATATATATATATATATATATATATATATATATATATTATATATATATATATATATATATATATATTTTACAAGATTAATTCATGGGAAACAATTTGAAATAACATAACATAAATATGGAGAAATCCAAGTTACTCAACTTGAGTAACATGGATTGTTACTCAAGGGCCATAAAGGTCACTTCCCCTTCAAAAGTAAGGGTAAATGAGTCAAGAGAATTGGACTGGGGTTAACTTGGGGTAAAGGGTCGTTAACCAAAGTTTTGTATTCCCGTTTTAGTACAGTTAGGGTTTGCAATTGTCTGTAGATGAATTCAATTGACGACGATTGAATTAAAAAAACTAATCCGACTGGATTCATTTTGTGAAGAATTCGAATCAGCAACATCAAATGGTTCTTCAAGCTATCGAAGTCATGTTGATGCAAGTACTCGACACTTTATACTTCATCCCAGTGATGTTTAATTGTGCCAAAATCTAGTTTCTTTACTTGTTGAAATATAATTTATGAATGTAAGGTTTTATAACTCGAGCATTTTACTTTATTAGCATGTACTTGTTGAAATACAGTGTTAGTTTCATAATGTTTTATAGTTATGCTGATGAAATTGTTCAAGAAAAATGTTGGAGTATGATTTTTGTTCTGAAGTGTTGTAGCTAAGGTTAGGGTAATTAAAATGTTTTTAAAACTTCTAGGCTGATAAGATACTGTCGCTCTAGTTTTAGAGTTGTGTAACATATTATTCAGGAACTGCATAATGAATGAAATGATTGTTGTTATAATTCTGTTGTGTTTAATCCATAGGTGATAAATGATGATCACATTTCTTTTGTCCGGTTATTAGGTGTTGATAATTCTGTGGTGAAGGGTCAAACATCAATTTATTAGGTGTTGTTACATCTGGGATGAATGATCAAGCATCAAATTTTCCTGATCTGTTTAAGGTAAGCAGTCCCTTCAAAGTCTGTATGTCAAAGTTTTGTTGGTGTTGGAGTTATTTTTAATAATAAATGAACCTATAGGATGATAATTTGAGCGCTGGAGGCGTTGTCAAGGCCAAAGGCCAAGTTCTTATGGAACTTGGTAAGTCTGAAAGGAGGGTAACTATTATGCTGTTCCTATTGTCATTTATATTACATATTATCACATTATATGCTATCTAAATAAGCATATCTCAAACTCAGGCACCCAATATGAACTGTCGTATTGAAAGTTTTGGGAGGATTTGTCAATCATTTGATGAGCAACGACAACGTTGGGTTAGGGAAATGGGGTTTGGATCTTTGTTAAATCTTGTTGACGTGCACCTACCTAGGCAGTTGGCCTATTGGTTAATGACACGCATTGATCCATTTGGTAAGGTGTTAAGGAGTCCGGATGGAAGGCTTCTTAAGCTCTTTACTAATCAAGTTCATTGGGTTTTGGGAATTCCTAATGGTGGTAAGGAAATACCAACGTGGAAAAACATTACGAAAGAAATGAAGGAAAAAGTTCAGTGGATTCAATTAAAATACAGGAAATCTTGGGAGACAAGAGTAATAAAAGTGGGTAGGGTATACACTTTAAATGGGATTCCAGTGAATTCAACTATACTAGATAGGTTAGAAGGTTCTTGGCAAGATGATGATGAGGAGGAGTTCAAGACTGTATTCCTTTTAGTTGTTTTGGAGATGGTGCTATGTCCAACGCACTCTCCTAGGCTTGCCTCTGATCTTATCCCTACATTGTCTTGTGCAATGGTCACGATGGAGTATGATGGGTGCGAACTGGTGTTGGTGAAGTTGCTGGACAGTGTGGTCTCATTTGCTCGCCGGTTTTACCGTAAAGGGTATGCTGGAGGTTGTGGCGGATGTCTAATATTCATTGTGGTAAATAATTTTGAAACTAGTTTTGTTTTTTTTATGTTGTATTCTGTGAAACTAACTGTAGTAACTCTGCTTCTGTAATAGATTTTATACTTGGACGGATTGCGTAGAGATCCCTTGAGGCGGGGCATTTTCCCGAGAGTCAAGGTGTGGGACATGAAACATATTTGGATAGCCAGCAAGGAAGATCGGTTGGAAACCGGTGGAGATTTTGGCAAACTAGGGGTTTGTACTACTATCTATTTCATATAATTATTCAACTATGTTTACTGTCCTTAACTGGTTTTCCATATCACAGTTGTTGGATGTTGCATATGGTGAGGGTCATCCGAAGGAAGCCTGAGACACTAAAGGACCTGTTTGTAGATTGCATGTAAGTCAAGCTATCCATTTGGATGTCTCTTACTAATCTTAATTGGTGGATAGTAGATGTTTATGTCCTTGGTTCCATCTTAGGATGCTGCTGATTGTTATGTGCCATACAATACCAAACGGCGGCCACGACGCGGTCCCCCCAAAAAAAGTGTGCACCAGCCAAACGTGGTGTATTACAAAACCAAAGCAAATAACAAAGCTCATGACTTAGAGGACTCCAGACCTGTGAAGAGGAAAAAGAACCAAATATTCAACCCTATCATTGTTTCTGAGTTACTGTTTGAGACCATTCAAAATGGCCCATTGTCTAGTATGGCAGGGGGAGTAAATTATGGACCTCACTGGAATGACTTTCAAAGGCAGGTGTTACATTTCAATTTCCAAACTGTACTTGACCATGTCCCATTGTTCTTGGACTTAAATTTCAAAATTTGCTAAAAATATCAAATTTTGTTATAGGTGGATCAGTGGATACCCTGCTGCGGCTTAAATCGCTTACGTCAATGGTAATATTCTACGATTGATAAAGTTCTTTTGATTGGTGTAATGAGTTGAATTACAGTACTTATAATTGTCATATGATCAGGTCTTAAGATGGACTTGATACATTTGTACATTTATCACTATTTCAAATACTTTTTTGACGCATAAACATATCCTCTCATGCAGCGAGAAGTATTGTCCTTCAGAGGTGGAGTGTAATCTTTCCCAGTTACCAAGTTGTCCATATTGGGGTTCATGGAGAATTTGACTTCCCAAGTGCTGGGTCTTGTTTCTGAGGTATGGAAAATTAATGTGTGTCTGCTTTTCACTGTGTTGTACTTACAAATGAGTTTATTGTGGTGACTAGGTTATTCCTACCTTTAAAATAATTTTGTTTCTTTTCAGTTGCACCAGGATGATGTTGTTGGATCATCTAGTGAAGTTGGTATTTCAGATACGCCTCCAGTCATGTTTCGCATATGTGTTGTAGTTAAATTTGCAATTCCTGCAGAATATCTTTTTTCTGTGGTAGATTCTTCGTCAACGACCCTAAAGCATAACTAAAAAATAGTAAGGACATTTGTACTTGTTATGATAGTGTTGCTTACATTTACCCCATTTAATTGAACGTCCATTGTTGTTATATTAATACAAGTTTTATTACCAAAATAGATGGAGGATGAAATCCACATGACGTGCATGAAAGGCTTAACACTGTGCCACTTAACAAGGAATATGCTGATTGTGAAAAATATCACCTCCTAAAAAATTTTCCCCTATTTACAAGTACTCAACTTTAAATAAGTTCATAATCCATTGTCATATTGTAGTCGGGTTACTGGTAAACTCTATATCTTTGTATCACTATTACAAGTATAGTTAGACTAGTCAAATGTTATGTATTGTACGGGTTATATATTGGATTTTATGTCGTTATATGGTTAGTTGTCTAATCCAATAGAATGTTGTACAATAAATTGCTCACAAATTACCTGTAATTTTATCAAGGGGCAAATTCATGTTTATAACAATGAAATACAACAAACGTTTTTCAAGGGGCAAGCCAGTACTTTTATCTCAAAAAGTCAGGGTAGTTGTGACTGTAACAAGGGGCAAGACGCTGTTATGGTCAAATTCATCTTACTTTCTCTCTCTTCAATTAATATTTGTCATTCGCCTTTTTAATTGTCAATAGTGTCTCTCTCCCTGTTCGAGTTCTCACCTTTTGGAGCTGGGTAATAACTACACCATTGGAGCTGGTCAATATCTACACCATTAGTGTTCGACCCTTTTGACCATGGCCTTCCCTTCTTTTTCTAGTCTTGGAGCTGGTCATTATCCTTGAACCCATCAATGATGTTGCACAGTTAGTAGACGTATTAGGTTGCGGAAGCAGTAGGAAGAATATCGGGCACTTATTTGGGGTAAGTTTCTTAAATTTAAGGATTTAGAAAATATATTGTTACTGTTTATTTGATTCTGGAAAAGGATGCTGCATATGTTAATGGGAGTTTATTATTTAGCCAATAAGTTAGGGTTTGAGTTGAATTTGATAATTGAATGAATATTGAATCTGGGGGTGAGATTAATTAGTCAATTAGTTACGGCTTTATCGGATAATTTGCCTTTGTCTGAATCTGATTAATTTTCCCCCTTGTAGTTAGGGCTTGTCGTGTTAATTGGTTTCAAATTAATTGGGTTCGAATTTTGATCAGCCAAGCTTTGTTGGGGTAATTGGTTTTCACAATAATTGTTTGCATTACTTCTTTTTTTAGGACTGAATTGGAATTTATCATGGTGGTGATATATTTATTTTTGGCCAAAGTTGCAGGTATGGTAGGTTTATGTGCATAATTGGAGCTATAGGTCACGTACAGGAAGATTGTTCTTGTGTTCATCTTGAGTTGGTAATAACTTCCTGTGTTTGTTTTTAGTTAGAGTGAATTTACTTTGATATATGGAGTGGTAATGTGTTATGAAAAATTTACACTTGCTACTATAGGAACTAGGTAGGTATACAAAAAGGAAAAGGCATAATGATGAGCAGGGTATGCTCCATACATGATTATTTAAGTTAGCTTATCGAACATAGGTAATTGCCTTTTAATAGCTAACTGTTTTATGAAAAGGGTGTGAGGATGGTGAAGCTTGGACCACTATATCTAGAGGTTTTTAAGGTATAGATGAGCTTAGCTGATAGTAATTGGTAAACTTTAATTACATTCGATTTGTTGATTATTTTTTAGGATAATTACTTGACTGTTGGTGGGGCAGTGAAAGCAAAGGGTGAAGTATTGAAACATTTTTCTAGGGGTAGCTGTAAGGTATTTGTTGAGATTTGGTAAAGTTATTGAACATACTGAAATGCCCTATAGATTTTTGATGTCACACTTTGTGCAGGCACCAAATTTGACATGCCATATAGAGTCATTTGGTAGAATTTGCCAAAAGTTTGATGTAAGACGTAAGAGATGGGTATCTGAAATGGGATTTGGGGGCCTATTGCATCTTGCTTCGTTAGGCATGCAATTGCCAAGGCAATTAGCCTACTGGTTGCTGACTCGTATTGATCCTGTTAGTAAGATTCTAATATCTCCAGATGGGGAAGAATTTAGTTTGTCTGCAAATCAAGTGTATTGGGTGCTTGGAATCCCAAATGGTGGGAAGACAGTTCCGACAAAGAAAAACATGACCCCTGAATTGAAAGACAAGGTTGAAGCATTATTAAGAAAATATTGCTAATCATGGAAAACCAGGTGCAGTAGATATGAAGATCGGGTGTACATTACTAAGGGTATATCTGTCAATTCTAGTTTGATGGAAAGAATTGAGGGTGAATGGTTAGCTGATGAGGAAGTCGAATTCAAGACTTTATTCCTCTTATTGTCTTTGTACATGGTGCTATGCCCAACATAATCCCCAAGACTGTCGGCGGATCTTGTTCCAGCGTTAACTTGTGCCCAGGAGTGCCTGGATTATGACTAGTGCGGGTTGGCTGTGGCAAAGTTGTTAGGTAGTGTATCAACATTTGCTCGGCAGTTTTATGCCAACGGTTTTGCTGGAGGATCTGGAGGGTGCTTCTTATTTTTTGTAGTAAGAGGTTTAATTGTTTGAAGCTGGTTATAACTTATACTGTTTAGTGTTCAAAATTCTTTTAATGAATATAAATTGTACATTTTATTAGGTTATGTACTTGGACCGGCTGAATAAGGTGTCGTCACGTTGGGGTGTATTTCCTAGGCTGAAGGTCTGGAATATACAAGAGATTAGTTGTGTTGCTAGGCTTGATCATCACTCTATAACTGGGGTCTTTGGCAAGCTCGGGGTAAGTATAGTGCTTTGCAATGTGGCTACTGTTTTACAATGTCATGGCATATGTATTTATGCAGGTTAATGTCATATGTAGATGATAGATGTTGCGTATAGAGAGAATTATCCTAAGGAGGCTAGAGATAGTAGTGGTCCGAGTTTGATAGGCTGTCAGGTGTGTACATTACAATAACCATGGGTTGAGTGAATATAGTTTTGTGATGTTTCAGAGAAGATTTTTTCTTTTTATTTTTGCAGGATAACGAGGAGACATATTACATAATTCAAGCCCCGAAGCTAAGGCGGATCAGAGGCGTGGGAATCCCTTGTTTTGTCAGCAATCATGTATGTGCAGAATCAGATGTCACAAGCTACGAAACTATCGCTAGCAAAACAATTTTGGTGATCTAGTCTTATATACAATCAATTTATAAATGGTGGGTAGAGAAACATTTGTCAGACTAGCATTAAGTGTAACCATTTATATGAAGCGGCTGTTGTTTAGGGTAAAAGTTACCCTGGACACGTGGACCTATGGGGATCTGACACGTGTCATCCCCCATTGCACCATGGGCATCCAACCACTGGATGCCACGTGGCATCGTACCCCCTATGGGGGAGCATACCCATCTGCTATAAATAGAGGAATCTACCTCATTTATTGATATTCAGAAAATATACACAAAAATCCCGAGCAATATTAATTGCGGAATTTCCCGGAATCCGAGAGAATCAATTTACCTTCTGCACGTAATTTCATCCGAAGTTATTCTAACTTGACCGTCGGAGGCGAAACTCCACCCAACCGGAGTTTCGTGGTTTTGCAGGTACAGAAGTCAGACGTACATTACCGGTGATGTAACTCTCCCGTAGGACACCTTAGAAACCCCCGAAACATTTGGCGTCGTCTGTGGGGAGAGTACCACTTGGATGGCATCTGAAAATGTACCAAACGCAGAGGGCAGCCGGCCCACGGCTGACCCTGAGGTCCACACTGATCATGAAAGCGGAAGTGGGGACGACTGCAATGTCGAAACCTATATGGCCCCAGACGGGTCTTTCCGCTCCAGGCGCACTCGTTCTAAAGAAAGAAGGGAACGAGGTCTAGACAAGGCTTGCCCCAACAACCCAGGCGGCAAGCATACCGGACAAACCCAGGCGGCGGAGGGGTCGGCCCCCGTCACCAGAGATGAGCTCATGAACCTCATGAGTAGCTTCAAAGGGGAAATCACCGACATCATCAAAAAGTCAGCTGGTTCCAGCAAGGGGTTGTCGGCCAAGAGGGCTTCAGTAAAGAAGCCCACCAAAGACCGGGTGCCTACTCCTCACCCAAAGCCTAGAGGGGGGGATGGGCCCCTAATTGACCTCTCAAAGATTCGTTTCCCCGAATCGGGGCAGCAAAAGGCCATCCGGCAAATACAGCCGGATGGTTCAAAAAAGACTTTCACAGATGCCCAGCTGTTTATCGAAGATAAGAGAGGTCAGAGTATGTCCCAGACGGCTTCAACGTCGACATACCCAGACAGCTTCCATAATTCTTCGATTAAGCATTCGGAAACTCACCCGAGGAGCCACACGCACGACACGTCTGTCCGTACTGCCCCTCATGTGATCCACCAGGCTCCATTTGTGACTCAGCAGCCATTTGGAGCTGGATCACCATACATGCAGCATTCTCCTTTTGGGAGAATGGCGACAAATACCGTCCAGCTCATGGACTGGCAGCTCAGGCTGCTAAACTTAGGGGAACAGCCTTCGGCTTTCTCCCGCGAAATAACCGAGGCGGCACAGCCGGCTAAGGTTAAGAATGTGTTGGTTGGTACCTACGATGGCACCACCAACCCAGAAGACCATTTGATGGCGTACACCAACCTCATGTACCTACAGGGGTTGGACGACGTCGCCTGGTGTCGATGTTTCCCGGCAACACTAAAGGGCATAGCCCAACGGTGGTTCGGCAACTTGCCGGCTGGGTGCATCAATAACTTCAAGACGCTTGCATATTTGTTCGCGTCCAACTTCTCCATGAATATCCCGGCCAAGAAAACCAGCCTCGACCTAGGGGTGATCCGGCAGGGTGACAAGGAGGGACTTCGGTCCTACGTCAGACGGTTCAATCTGATGAGAATTCAGATACAAGGACTGTCTGACGAAGTTGCGTACACAGACTTCTTCAAGGGTCTGAAGGATGGGTCGACATTCAAGTTCGACCTAGTTCGCAAGAGGATCGCTACTCTCCAGGAGGCCCTTATGGAGGCTGAAGCCTATATACAGGCGACGAAGCTCTGTGCCGTCAAGCACACGTCAGAACCCAGGCGGTCTGACGTAAAAGAGAGCCGATCCCAGCAGCCGGCCAGAAAGGAAGAAAAGAAAAGAAAAGAAGTCTGGGCAGCTGACCGCCCAGGTCAGTCGTCCCAGAAGAAGCAAAAGAAGTTGGAACCATACGTCCCCAAGTACGAGTTCAACAAGGACTGCTCCTCCATCCTCATGGAGATAAAAAACTGCTTGACTATTGAAAAGCCGGCTCCTCTAAAGAGCGCTGTCAAGAATCGGGATAAGAGCAAGTATTGCCAATTCCATGTGAACATTGGCCATGACACCAATGGCTGGTATAGCCTCAGGCGGCTATTGGACCGGTTGGCCGATGAGGGGGCTTTGAAGCCCTACATGACAAAGTCCAAGGGTAACCCTGCAAATGTTGGGCAGTCGTCCAAGAAGACGGTGGTGAGCTCTGACACAGATGAAGAACACATCTACACCATTGCAGGCGGCTTCGCTAGTGGTGGTCCCACCATTAGGGGTGCCAAGGATAACATCAGGAAGTTGTCCGCCTCAGAGGACGAAGGCAAGGTGTCGAAAGACGTCTTCCCAGAAGTCTTCATCTCTGAGAAAGACAGGGGTACGGTCAGGCGGCCCCACGATGACCCCATTGTCATCGAATGTAAAGTTGCCAATTAGCGAGTTGGCCGGATCCTAATCGATACCGGGAGCTCGTCTGACCTAATAAGCTATCGCTGCCTGGCGAAGCTGAAATACAAGCCCAGCAGTATGCACAAGGCTCCCCACCCCCTAGTCGGTTTTGGAGGTGGGGTAGTGCATCCGGTAGGTAGGATAGACTTGCCCATCCGGCTGGGAGGCAAGGGGGAAGGGCGACACATGATCGTTAAATTTTTGGTAGTCGAAGAGCTGACTGCCTACAACCTTATATTGGGACGTCCAACTCTCAATGAGTCCAAGGCGGTAATCATCCCCTCTCTTATGCTGATTAAGTTCGAGAGGGATGATGGGTCAGTAGGCGAAGCGGGAAACAAAAGGCGGCTAGAGAGTGCTATCTCTCAGACGTTAGGCCGATTGCCCATGCAGCCGGCCCCCGCGAAGGAACATACTGACCTCGAAGACAAAGAAGCTAGGCCTGTCCCTAAGGCAGGCGGTACCAAGAGAAAGGCGGACCAACTGGCCCCCGCCAAGAGAATGAAATAGCAATCACTAGCCGGGGAAAGGCCGGATGACTCCGGGCCCCTGCCGGCTGGTGAAAGCACTGATGTCGTCCTTGACGACAGCCGTCCTGATAAAACAATTAAAGTTGGGACGGTTGCTTTTGAAAAGTTGGGGGCAAACTTGCTCCAACTTCTGAAAGAGTTCAAAGACCTCTTCGCCTTTGAAGTGGAAGAGATGCCAGGCGTAAGCTCGGATCTAGCTGTCCACAAACTAGCTGTTGATCCCAAGATAAAGCCAGTTAGGCAAAAGAAGAGGGATCATGGCGAGGAAAGGTCACAGGCGGCGGCCGCCGAGGTCAAAAAGCTACTCGACGGCGGGTTCATTCGGCAATGCTACTACCCGGATTGGGTAGCTAATGTGGTACTCGTCAAAAAGTCGAACGGTACCTCGCGGATGTGTGTAGACTACACCGACCTGAACAAGGCATGTCCAAAGGATAGCTATCCGCTTCCCAAGATAGACAGTCTGGTTGACTTAACAGCCGGCCATGCCCTGATGAGTTTCATGGATGCCTTCTCAGGCTTTCATCAAATTCCCCTATGGAAGAAGGAGGAAAAGACGGCCTTCGTCATTGATCAGGGGTTGTACTGCTACACGGTGATGCCATTTGGGCTAAAGAATCCGCCTGCTACCTTCCAACGAATGATCAACACGGTCTTCACCCATCAGATCAGAAGGATAGTCAAATACAAGCTCTAGGCGGATCACCTAGCAGACCTCCGAGAAACCTTCACCACACTCAGGCGGCACAAGGTCATGCTTAACCTCAAGAAGTGTGTTTTTGGTGTTGAGTCTGGGAAGTTTCTTGGATTCTTGATTGATCAAAGGGGCATAGAGGCCAATCCGGAGAAGGTCCAGGTGGTGATTGATATGCAATCACCCCGAACTGTCAAGGTGGCACAAAAGTTAACCGGTTTCCTGGCGGCATTAGGAAGATTCCTCAGCCAGTCAGGCGACAAGAGCCTTTACTTCTTCCAAGCAATCAGGAAGAGGTCCAGATTTGAATGGGGAGAAGAGGCTGAGGCGGCATTCCAAAGGTTAAAGCAACACCTACACTCGTTGCCCAGACTTGTGAGCCCCCTACCCAAGGAGGTTCTCTACATGTACCTTGCCGTCTCAGACCACTCCCTTAGTGCCGTGCTCCTTGTTGAGAGAGACGGCAAGCAGCTTCCAGTATATTTCATCAGCCATATCCTCAGAAATGCTGAACTCCGGTACCCAGTGATTGAAAAATTTGGGTTGGCTCTCTATAAAGCACTCAAGCGGCTGAAGCCATACTTCTTGGCCCATCTGGTAATTGTCTATACTGATCAGCCACTCAAACGACCAAAGACCACCATGGAGTCATCCGGTCGAATGATCAAATGGGCTGTTGAGATTCAGAGCCTGGAAATAACTTTTGAGCCTAGACGGGCAGTGAAGGGTCAGGCGTTTGCTGACTTCATTGTGGAAATGACTAGGCCGGCTCAGCTGAAAGATCTTGGGCAGGTTTGGAAGTTATTTGTAGACGGAAGCTCTACGACAAACGGCTGTGGTGCAGGCGTAATTTGCAAATCTCCAGAAGGAGATACTTACGAATATGCACTACGGTTCAAATTCCAAGCTTCAAACAATGAAGTTGAGTATGAAGCCCTGTTAGCCAGTATGCGCATGTGCAAGGCGGCAGGGGCAAGGAAAGTCGACGCCTGCTCAGACTCTCAATTGATCGTCAGCCAATTCAATGGTGACTACGAGGCAACCCATCCGGCAATGATCAAGTATCTGCAGGCGGTCAAAGAGGAGGCAGGGGCATTTGATGAGTTCCGTTTGTGTAAAGTGCCCCGGTCTGAGAACAACCAGGCGGATGCTCTGTCCAAACTGGCCTCATCCGCCACTTGCGACACGCCTAGGTCAGTCTTTTGGGAGGTCATGGAAAAAAGAAGCATCGAGCATGACCCCATTGGAATCTTAGACAGAAGCTCCACCTGGATGGACCCCATTCGAAACTATTTGGTAGACGACACCCTGCCGGATGCCCCCTCAGAAGCGGCAACACTTAAAAAGAGAGCTCTAAGCTTTGAAATGTTCAAGGGGGAACTCTTTAGAAGGGGACACCTCCAGCCGTTACTGAAATGCGTAACCCCAGAGCGGGGAAGAGAGGTGTTAGAGGACCTGCACGCGGGCTTTTGCGCTTCACATATAGGCGGCAGG